GGGTAGATGGGGGTAAACTGGGTAAAACATGGTTAACTTAAAGAAGATGAAGGTAACTGAGAGAACAAGGTTAGCTAGGACATATCGTGCAACATACATGGATGGTATATTACTTAGTATTAATGGATACGAGTTATTGGGACGTGATATGGACCTAACATGAACGCTTTACCCTCTATGGGTATTATCGAAGAAATCGAAGACGCGAAGATCACCGCCGAAAGAACGAAGATCTCAAGATTGAAGCGAGGATCTGAAAATTGACCAAAATTTGCGAGATCAAATTGGACTCTCAGATATAAAACTGTCAAAACTCGTAAACGCCACAGAAAATATCTGTTTTTTCTGAATTTTGGCATTTGACCACATTTCACTGCGATTTTGACAACGGTGTCAACAGTGGTTTACAGTCGCTGCCGTGAAACCACATGATGCCATTACCAGGCTGAAAACGACAAAAATAGTCCACTGATAATGTAATCATTAATGACATTGAGGACGTCAATGAGAAACCACTAACCGTGAATTTAAACAGTGATTTGCTATTGAAGTGAAATATTTATCAGCTGTGAATAACACTGAATAAACGTTTAAACCATTTCAATCCGAAAAACGAAGATCTTCCTAAAAAAAAACGAAGATTTGCAAAAAAAATCGCGAAAAAAACGAAGACCGTGGGTACCCGAAGAGAGGCTCAATCTATTAGATAAAAATGCACCAAAAAGTTTTTTTGGTGCATTTTACATGTTACATGTTTTACATGTTTACATTTTACATTTTACATTTGGTACATGTACTCGTGATGTAATTGTATTTCCATATCGATTTTCAAACACAGACTGTGAAGCCATTTAACTCGGAACGATTATTCTAAGGATTAAAGGATTTTAGCGCAGCACTTCTGGGCCTAATATTTCGAATTGCTTGTAGAATTTGTTTTACACCAATCAGAGTTGAGAGAGGTATAGGATGCTAACCCAGCTTGCTGCCCAACTAGAGTGCAAGACTAGGTCCACGATACCAGAAATGGACCAATCAGCGACGAGTGTGACAAATTTTGGCTCCCAAGTAATTGGTCCACGTGGACCAAGGTACTGGGTAAGCGTAATTAACTATAATTTAGATACTTGTGGTCTCACTACTCCTTGTATCTCCAAACAGAACACCATCAGACTGTCTCTCTGTAACCCGTAATTGCAAGGCCGGAGTAGTGCCACACGTATACTTGGTAAACTATCGACCATTGTTTCTCTTTCAACTTGTGCCTGCGAAGATCGCGATCCTCCTTTCCCACAAAACATCAACGCAGCAAACTGCAGCTGTTCAGAAATATGATTTGCTTGTTAAAATAACTTGATAGTTAATCCCAGAAGGAAGAAAGTTCTCTCTCTTTGATTATTCTCTTCTCTTAGATTGGACGCAAACATAACCATGGATTTCTTTACTTTCCTTTTTTATCTAAAATATGCAGCAAAGCCTTTAAGTCGCCTTTTCCACTGTTTTCTCGTATTTCCCTGATCTGAAACTGATGTGATTTGTGTTGTGGTAACACCCTTGAAGCGTTTCTTATTCGTCCTTTTGATCCAATCGCTAGAAGCCATTTTCTGTTTGAGTGGTTTTGATTAGTTGGATACAGGTAGGAACAAAAAGAGTAGAAGTGATTCTCTTCCTGAGCGTGTTTCAATAAAGTGTCTTCATTGGACGAGTTTGCCTGGAAAATAAAAGAAGCTTGCATATGAGCTGCTCACTTGAGACACATAACCCACCGCTAACTTGAAGAACTCGTGGTTTTCTTGTCGTTCGATAATGCTCTTAATGAGTATCAAGAGGTTTACACATTTGAATTTTCAGTGCCTTTGACAATTTTTTTTTTTCACCCTGCTGTCAGTTAGGTAGTCTTAGTAACAAAAATTAACACAAAGTAAGCAACATACAGACCAAAACTATGATTTACAAATAAAACACCCCTTTAGTAGCCGATTCAGGTCTTTAGATAGGGAGAATATGAACTCTTTTAGGGAGAAACAACGTTTCCTGCCCAGTGAGATCATTCTTGCTACAGTACTCATCATGAAATAGTTGTTTTTCAACAATAGTTACTTCAGTACCGTCGAATAAATTTGTCCAAGATTGCCGATCGCGATGTATTTCATTGTTGTCAAACTTTTCAACTTTACAATGCTTGTTCCGTGAGACTGAATGCGAAACAGCCCTAAGATAAGAAAAAAATTATTTCTGCTGTCAGAATATGCAAGCGTACACTGATTAAGTTGACGTTCCCCACCTTCAAACTATGAACATCTGTGACAGTTTTCTGTCATCAGGTCCGCCATTCAATTTTTAATTTACTATTAGTATCATTGTAAAATTTACTAATAGCTCTCAATCTCAATTAAAACTACGGATAACTGTGCTAAAAAATTAAATATAGTATTTTTATCTCTATTATGTGATTTTTCTAATTGGGCCAAGGCTGAAAGACGTACTCCTCTGGATCACCAAAAACTGCCGGTTACGGACGCGTTATCTATAGGCGGATTCATGCTGACGTCATTGTTTACATTTTTGCTCATTTGCATACGGCTTTGCGTGAAGAAGGAAGCATGTTAGATACAAATTGACTTCAGGCAGCTAAGGAGCTAGAAAAGCTTAGTACATGGTGAAATTTTTAGCTCTTTGGGTGTAATATTCAAGGAGAAATAGTCCATCAAAAACTGCAAAATTTCTGGGTGGCAAAAGCGCTAATGAGCTCATGCATTCTATGTAAAATTTTGAGTTTTTAAACCCGTGTTGCACAAAAGTATTTAATGCATCTGGCTCATATTCATTGGCCGAGTTGATCGTACTTTGACCTTTCGATATTCAGAACTGATTTATTTTTAGCTCCATCAGAAACTGAATTGCTTATGCTAATGAGGCAAATATTGTAAACAAGGATTCCCCTATAGTAATACCACCTCAGTTTCCATGAAGGTTATAAACAGCTTCCTCTGCTCCTCACCCCCCCCCCCCAACCCACTTACAGTAAGCTCACTCTTCTGCTTCTTTGCTCTTCTCTGCTTCTTCCGCCTTACCCCTCCCCGCCCCCAATATAACTCAGTCATTTGGCTCTGTTTCTATTTGCAGATTGTCCATACCATATTTCGTTGTTAAAGCCCTGTTCCAACTGCCAGCTATTGTTCCGTTTTCAAACATGATTAAATGGATTCCTCTTTTGTTCACCAAGCGAACGTCCATCGATGTTGATGGTGGTTTAGATAACACAGAGTTTCTGGCGTATGGAACTAAACTTTTTGTGATGGTTGGAGTGCTTGAGTCATTTTGTGGTCCTTTTGGTTTTATTGTGCTGCTCACAGGTGTCTTAATTGTTGTAATCAATGAGCGAAGAACTAACACGGAGATGAGGAACTGAAATGGAAAAATGGTTTAAGTAATAGAGGACTTTCCGTCATTATGTAGGCTTCATCGAAACACGGAGGGGTTGACTGAATTCGAGTTTAACCAAACCCCCGACTGTGTCTGGGGTTTGCACAACTTTCGCGAACTATCCTAACCCTCTACCAATGTCTAGATGAAGACCTGTAAACACAAGAAAGTCTTTAATCGCTTTCGTGCAATGTTTCTCAAAAATAAGCGTGAATCTAAAACGTCGCTTCCATTTGTAATAGTATTATTCTAGCACACTTATCAACCAGTAAGAGCGTGCGTAGCACCTCTGAAAAACACGAAAAAGAAAAAACAAAAAAGAGCAAAAGGAACAATCTGAGCAAAAGCGAAGCAAAATTCAACAATATGAAACGAAGAGAAAGAATATAGTCCGAGATTTGTGTTCATAACTTGTTTGTATTGTACACGATATCAGTCCGATGTCTAAAACGGATTACAAGAACTTATGGGTATGTGGAATTTAGGGACAAATATTCAATGTGGAGCGTAAGGTGAAATTATCGTTAGATAAATAAATAAATTGATAAAGAAGTAGATGAAAGAGATAGTAATGATAAAAATAATGACAAAAGATCTTAAACGACTTTGCTACGTTAAAGATGTCGCTCGAGACAGTGCAGGCATTCAAACCATTTATATCTGAGGCGGAGGGGGGGGGGGGCAACCTAGTTCCCAAGGCTTTCCCTTCTATCCTTTTTGGGGGCAAGGCTTGGCTGTCTATAGCAGCGCATGTAAAACGACGTTGAACCTTCTTTGTGAATAAAAGTGGTCTGTGCAATTCGTGTTTTCGGACATGTACATTCAGGAAGAAAACTTTCGTCCCTACTGAAAAGATTCTCTTCTAACCCCTGTATCTGGTTGACTCAGGCACACTATCAACATTGAACAAAACGTTAGTACCTTTTTATGAATAAAGATTTACAAGCACAACCTAATAACATGAGAAAAGCTGATATACGCGACTTAAGAAAAAACCCAGTAAAGAGCCTACGTGGTTTGGTATGAAGGGAAACTTTTTGTAGTTCTGAGAAGGTTCCCGCGCGTAATACAGGTTCAGATGTTGCTGCTATATCTATTTCAGCAGGAAACATTGGTCAAGACAGGTAAGAAAGAAAATCCGAGAACAAAGCGAGAAAGTTCAAGATCTAACAGGATGAATGTGGTAGCATCGTTTACCAGATGCGGTCAGTGTGTGGTCCAATTCAAATTCACTGGAGCGAGCTTGCTCTTTTTCATTATTTTTTATTTTTATTTGTCTGTTTTCTTTTCTATAACGCTCATTGTATCCAGGACAGTTATCACCTCTCAAGGAAACGAAACTCTTTGCTGTATTTAATTCAGCCGACGTTTGCTATAAAAACTCGACTTTTCTAATTTTTTAAACCAGCTACTTGCGTGTTCCGATTCTGTGGGAGGGGGCACATTGTTCATATTGTTTATTGTTTGTTTGTTTCATTGCAACTGTAAAATTCTAAACTTTACTCACGCAGTTGTTGGAACTCGTTATAAAATTAGCGCATTGACATGAGTCCAGCTATCCTCAGGCTATGCGTGAATCAGGGGAGCACGTCAGCTAAAAATACACCATGGCAAAAGGAAGTTTTTCCAGCCTGAGTTTCTTGATCCTCTTTCAGGCAACAGGCAAATGAACGGAAAGGTCAAAGTAGTTTCAAAGGTTTCGTGTCAGAAGGCGGTAGAGGATCTCACGAGCTCCAGCAGTTGCATAGGTACGCAACCTATAAGGGATAAATACGACCTAGAAAGCTCCAAAAGTTCTGATAAAATGACAAAAATAACCCGCCGCATGCAAAAAGTATATAGCACATGATCAGACCATCACATAAAGCAACGGAACATTATACGACCACTGATGATTGCCATGTGATGAATCAGTTACAAAAAGAGCCAATTTCGCCTCTATACGACTAATTTAAGCGGCAAAACTATGCTGGCTATGGGCCGGCTCATGGCGTTTAACGACTTTAAATGGGAAAATCAAATTTCGGTTAAGGATTACTAGGCGCCTTTCGCCTAAACCCTTCAGTTACCAACCACAAGACAGCTTACTGATAGTCACTAACTCACCGGAGAAGTCATCTAGTAGGTATAAGTCCCAGCACCTTGATGATTTTCTGACTTTGGAGGTCAGATCTGTTATATAGATGGCTAGTGCGTTCGGTGATTGACTTGGCTTGTCCAACAATACAGGATTCTAGAATTCTCCCAAAGCTCGGCTGCATCTCCATCCAGCTGAGCTACTACTCTGTTTTGCTGTTGGATGTTTTTGCAACTCATTCGAAAGATGAGTGATAATTTTCTGTGTTTTAATGAAGGAAAGGCCTCATGTTAGCTTCTATCTTTTGCCTCATCGAGGACACAGGGCTGGTAGTCTGGTGTTGCTATCAAAATTGCGAAAACAAAAATGAGCTAAGAAATTTCGTGTGATTCACGCCCATTTCAGTATGGCAGAGTTTTATGATCCTCAAAAAGTGGATAGAAATTGCGTTCACTCGAGCACTACATTTTGTATGAGAAGAAAAGTGTGTACCCAACGGGATACCATAAAATCGCTCCGTTTGTCCTCCCGTTTGAAAGGTGAAGCGAAGAGTAATGAGGCTATGCAAATCAGGAATTAAACATTCCGCTTATCAAGCTTTCTTTTATCTTCAGGTTTTCTTAAAAATCCCAAAAATTCAGATTACTTTGCCAATCATCTTGATTGGGACATCATTTAAACACTTCAAGAGAAAGATGACCTAAACTTAGTATTTCCTTTTCTACAACTGAAACGAGGTTGTCATCCCAGACCGACAAATTTTTCCCAACGATCTCCATGACCAAGTTTGAGTAGCTTTGACAATTGGTTTAGGGTGTGAAGTTAAAGTGCTTACTAGATCTCATACTAGTGTTTTATCCAGTCCCAGTCTTTCCATTTATCAATACTCATGATACCGAGAGGCTATATATCTGCAACTTTGTTTCCAAATATGGCAATTCGGATAAAAGCGAGAAATTTCCTCTAAGGAAAACTTCTTCTTTTCGTTTTTTAGGGAAAACATATGAAAGTTTCCCTTCACAGTTGTCCATGTTTATAATAAAGCAATTGTTTTTATGCATCACTGAGTTTAGCTTCGATTTGTTCCATCGAATTTGTTCCAATGTGAGCTCACCGTTTATATCTAAAAAGGACAAAAAGAAGACAATTTTCACAGTCGGGGTTTAGTTGTTTATGTCCACAAAGGTAATATCAAGTATGTTATGTATGCCTCCTAACAGGGTTCCTTTATTCCTCACGCCATATTTACTCGAGTTAACGTTAAGTTTCACACATAAAACATCTTTTAAGAAAATGCTGCCGTTGTAGTTGTATGGCTTTGAGATTTTGGGAATTCTTGCAGGGAGGTTTGTGCATGGTGTGCCTGCATTGTGAACAAGGCCTTCATTCTGAATTAAATAAATAAATGATTAAACAATGCGAGCTGTTAAGGCAAGGAGAATTTTGAATGTTATTATTGCCGAGTATTGATTCCTTGTAGAAGAAGGCATTTGGTTTCGTTGCCATATGTCACTCACCCTAGCTCCCCTTTCGCAGATAGACAGCCGCTGTTTAGTAGAGTGCAGACTGTGATGGCATTCCAGAACTCTTGAATCGGAGGGTCCAAAGTCTGCTGTTACTCCATTTATTTCTGGTGAAAATCTAGCGAAAATCTCTCGTTAATATAAAGTTTCAGGACTTAAAGGTGTTGTTGTGACGTTTGTTGACCGCAGTTTTTCACGCACGTGTGTGTCAATATACAAACGAACAGTCTATTCTTTTCTCGTGACGTCATTGATGGCATTTTCCTGACTCTAATGTCAGTAAGTTCAGTGACATAATGAGAATAAACATATATAATCACGTACTTTCATTTTTCACCTCAGATATGATGCAGCATTTAAGTTACACAAAATCTAGGGCGATTTTTGATAACATCGACGTGCACGATCCCAGAGGGCAGAAGCCCCGATGGCTCCCCACTCACGAAATCACGAGGTACTTGTCAAAAAGAAGAAAAAAGAAAAAACTGTTTAAATAATCTATTTTGGAGGCTAGGGTGGCTCAAATCATTCATTCCCCTGTTTAGTTCTAAAGCAAAAAATTTATGGATGAGTGTGCAGGTTTAAGCAATAGGTCAAAGATGAGACTGAGTTATTTGCACATAGATTGCACTTTTGTAACAACGGCAAACGGCATAAGGAGGGTCTGAATGAAGGACTCAACAGTAGTAATATTTGATCAGAAGTCGAAAGTCGGAATAAGATGGTGGAAGTGGAAATTGTGAGTGGAAAGTGAGAAGTTTAAAGGACATAATTTCGCAGGATTTCCTCGAAATCTTAAATTAGTCAATTCTAAAATTATCATGGCATATTGATTAAAGGAACTCGTCGCCCATCACATTCAAACATTTCGTCTTCGGTTTTTCCAGAGGCCATCAATATAGACTCTCCGTTCTGCAAATAACCATTTCATCTTTTCAGTTGATGGCTACAAATTGAGTTTCCCTATTTCTTCTACAATTTTCTTTTTTTAATTTTCAAAGGATTCTCCATCAACCACAATAACAGGTCCAGTCATGTCCTCTAGTTGCATGACTCTAGGCATTTTTCCGAGACATTCTACCCACCGGAAATGTAAGGAATGTACCTCAGTACCAGTCTCAACGCGGTTTGTGAAGTTTACGATTCGCGAAGGCGACCTAATTTACTTACAGTGCATAAATTTTTATCGTTTTAGTGGAAAAATACGATAAGAACTGTATCGTTGTTCATGTTTGAGGATAGCTATGCCGTTTGGCATATGTACAAAACCTTTAAAAGATGATCTGACAAAGGATCTTCTTATACTTGTCGAAATACCAGACAAATCTAGCATAAAAGTGACGCTGTCGAAAGATGCCACAGGGCTCGACTGTTTGGAGAGTGTGACGAAGGAACTTGGTCTGTACGAGGTAAGATCTAACGTGTCAGAATTACACTCTTTCAACGGTTCCGTAGTGGCTGAGTACCTTCGGTATCAGTTGAACGCTCTTTGGTACTTGCTGTAGTTAGAGCGCACTTTATTTTGATTTGTGTACAGAATATCTTCAACTTGGGCATTTCCATGTCTTTGTACCTTTGCGTGTACGTGTGCCTAGATTGATGATTTCTCCTACTAGAGTGAATGAAATTGTTAAGTGAGATTTTTTTTTTATTAGATCGTTAGCTGTAAAGTAAGCAAGAAATTGTGGTTTACATATATTTATCTAAACAGATGATTAGCATTTATCGAATATTGGTCAAGATATTTTTTACTTCATGTTAAATTTTGTACTGCATCGATCAAAACACATTTATTTAGAAAGCGAAAGCACTTGAAAAAAGAACGAGGTCAATATACACCTCGTTGATGTGTCCTACATTTATTTGTTGTGTTTATCAGCATTTATGTATAACTACACTTAGTTCAGACGGACAACAACTTCATGAAAGAGAGGTCATTTGATGAAGGGATCACCTGAGGCTTTAAATTAAGATGCCAAGTAAATGAAACATGACATTGAAACGGTGCCGGTAATTGTGGGAGTTAAAGTATTTCAATATTGGACTGGATATGAATTTAGAAATAGAGATCAATATAAAATAACTCGAAGGAATTGTGATGAAAAACGTGTGACTAATAGAAGATAATTTTGGAATTCTGTAAACCTTTTGCAGCCACTGATGTTTTATGAATTCAGCAACAAATCTTCGAGTAATAATAATGCTCAGTTTTACATTAAAGCTTATCATTGAGCAAAATTAAATTTGGAAATTTGTTGACTACTTAATTGAAAATGCATTGTACATGTGCAAAGAAGGTTTATTTTTTCCCTTTGTGTCTAATGTCCACACTTCAGTGTGCTGCTGCCAGCTCAAAATTGCAGTTGGTGAGCTGAGTATTGGTTTTTTATTTTATTTTCAGGAAGCAGAACAACATTTATGCTATAAGATGTAATTGATGAGTATAGCAGCTTTCATAAAGTTGAATGAGAGTAACCCAATGGTTTCACAGTTAGGTTGTCCTATTTTTTGGCATAAATGTGAGACCCTGACCAAAAACCCTGGCCTTGTATGAATGCTAGAGTAAAACTGCTGAGTCAGAATAAACACTAAAGGCTTGGAATTCAAGGCTTGGTTTTGATAGAGGCTGCAATCTTTATTTGCTTTTGAATTCAGATGTAATTTGTTAATTTGATACAAGAAAATGATTGAAGGAGAAGTAAGAACAGTTAAACTAATAAACCAAAAGTACCTCCTGGGTCTCAATAGAATCAGTTTTTAAAAATTGATCTGAAAAGTGAGAGAAAATTATAATTTGTCCGTATAAACACCAAGCCCTGATGTGTTGCCAGCCTTGTGCTTTTTCCAAGAATAAGAAAAAGGGTCAAGGCAGCTTCTAAATTATGATGACCAAGCTTACTGGCAAAAACTTGGATTGAATGTGGTAGTGCATAAAATTTTTTCCTTGCTTACTAGTATTGACCTTCCGACTGTTTATTTTTGTATATTTATTTCATCCATTGCAACAATCACAACCTTTTAAATATTAATTACAAACAGGAGAAAGAAAATGGAGAAGGGTATAATATTATATTATAAGCAAGCTAATTAGATGCCCTTTATGTAAACTTCAATTGTTTCAAAGGGTAAAACAAAAGCAATACAAATATAAGAGAAGGAAGAAGAACCACATCTAAAACAAATATGTAGTAAATAGTGCCTGGTCAAAGGAAGATATTAATTAATACTGAGAAAAGTACATGTAATATATGAACAGTGCTCTAACTTTAGGATGGTTTTCCATTGTGCTTCTCCTGTATGGCCGGATATGGGAATGTCATTTCAATTGTAGCATCCAATAACTGTTAGACAGAATCTTCTAATTATTTATTCTGAAGAGGCTAGGGTTCAGGTGCTGCAAAGATGTACTTCTAGTGGCTTAATCGTGGTTCTCAGACGCAAAAGACAGTGCAAAATTGGATGATTTTTTTACCTACAATATCATGGTAAAATTAGTTGACGTGTCCTTTAACTTAATGCTGGAAGATGAATTTGTAGCTGTCTTGCACAATGACGGATGACCAGTCAGACCTCTAGATGACTGCTCTGACGTCTGGGTTGTGTCTGAGCAAAAGATATCTGATGGAAAACACTAAAAATTCATTTACAAATAGTTCATTCTCAGGAGCGAGGAAATATTAATTTCTCTTTACACGGTATCATTAGATTGGTAAGTAGAAAGGTGTCAAGAAGTAAGAGAAACATCAAGTAGGGAGATTGTGTTTTTAAAAACATCTCAAACACTTAGAGTGTACTAGTCAAGAGCATTTTATGTTTGGATCATGGGAGTGGAAGCATCTCAAACACTTAGGGTATACTAGTCAAGAGCATTTTATGTTTGGATCATGGGAGTGGAAGTGTTAATGTACAACAGTTACTGTAGTTTTAAGATTGGACAATTTGTATTTGCAGGTTGGATACTTTGGTTTAAGTTACAAGACTAAGAAAGGCCATGATTGGTGGCTTGTTTTGGAGAAACCAATAAAGAAACAGTTGGAACAGAACACTATCAGTTATATTGGCAGCATCAGACTTAAGTTGAAGATTCATTTCTTTGTGAATGGTGCCTCTTGGTTAAAACTTCAAGACAAACTGATAAGGTGATACAGAAGAAATCTCCAACCAGAAATGTCCCAAGATAGTTTAGATGTTCAAGTTATGTTCTCATGCAGCCCTGTGTTTATTATCTTTTTCATGTGCTCAGTTTATATGTTTTCAGGAAGGCTGAGAACAAAATCTAATATCCAGGGCCTTGAACTAAAAAAAAAGAAAATATGGGTAGTAAAGTGAAAATTTCTTTAATGAGAATTTTTTTCTTTTTTTTTTTTGTCAAAGAAGGAACTAGAGGATATTTTTGGTAATGATTGGACTTTCTTTTTTTACAAGTATAATAATATATCATTCTACACAAGGCTAAAAGAACTGATTAGGAAAACATTAAATGTTTGAATGGTTCAAACATTTTAATTTTGTCCTAATCTTTTAGCCTAGTATAGAATATACTTTACTAAGTGCATGAACATTATGGACACAATACATCAATTGTTTTGTGTCTTCTTTATTTCTAGAAGTTTTTACTATTTGCAACTTAAGGATCAAATTCTTGAAGGGAGCTTGTCAAGTGAAAAAGACTCTGCAGTGTTACTGGCCTCCTATGTTGCACAAGGTGATTAGATTTGTTAAAGGACACTTTTGAGATAACTTTAACACAATGACTTCAAACTGATCTGATCCTTCTTTTCTGTGGTTTAAATGACTTATTTACAAAGAGAAAAGGTGTGCTCTATCAATTAAAAGTTTGAGATCATATCATATCAGGTGGAGTCAATTGTTTTCAAGCAATATGTAGATAGAAATGACCGCAGTGAGCTTGAAGTAAAGATAATTTTACTTTGCTCAATTAATTATAATGATAATCTGATACGTGTTGTGTCTCAATTACTGCAGAAAAGTGACACCAATCCTTGGTTAAAATGGCTGACCGAACTTTAATAATCACTACCGTTACACAATTACTACAGTTACACAATTAATATCACAATCTCAATATGCATGCAACTTATTATGTTTACTCTCTGGGACCTCTCATGTCATGCATCTTACACCTGGTGATGGTTCCTATTATTTAATCCCTAATTCATTAACACTATAACATTAATTAAACCCTAGTTCATTAACACTATTAATAACAATACACACTCCACTAGAACCTTGATTATCTAAACCTCCGCTATCTGGATTTTTCAATCATCTGGAGATGCTTTTCTAGACCGATTTTCTCCCATTGAACAAAGCAGATGTACTGAAACAGTGTTGACACTAATTCTTGAATGCAATTGTAAAGAATGATTGAATTAGCAATGCACAAATGCTGTTAGCTTGGAACAAACTGATGTACATCAGCATTTTAGTCTGTAAAATGTCGTAAGTACTTTTAATTGGCAAATTTTGGCATTGGTGCGTGTTGATTTGAGATTTTATTTTAATTCTTGTGTAATCCTGATCAAATGATATTTAGAACATAGCTAGCAGAGTCGCGCAATCAAATTCTTTATACGCAAGCGTGCTCAAAATCCCGATAGTGCACGCTGATAGCGTCAGCAAATCCGACTTCGCCAGAAATTTTTTTTTCGCGCGAGCGGCCATTGTTAGCGCGGGGAAAAATAATATATTTCGCGACAATAATGGATACAAACAGAAACTCGGCCTACTAGTCCGAAAACGAAGACAATGTTTGGACCTTTTCCCTTGGGCTAGAGTTCTTAAATGAGGCAGAAAAAGAGAAAAACAAAGGAAAAGGATACTCGGCATCAGCGCC